TAAATCCGGCGCTACAACTTCCCCAGGGGTTCGCTCCCGTGGAAAATGTATGTGGGGCCACTATTTCTGGCTAAATTGCGCATTCGCAATTAGCCATTTAAAAAAACCAAAAAGGCGGATTGCTGGACGACCCCTTCCTATATAGGTACCCCGGCGGTATTCTTACTGTACATTTGTTGGTCCCACGAGTCGAATCGTCGCCAATACCTAAAACTGTTGTGCTAAATTCGAAAACAAAACTACATATGTGTCGAAAATCATCCGACCCGATTCACATACTAAGGCCACTAGGAGAGTGTATGTGCCGGGACAGTATTCCAGCGTGGTCGACGGGAATTTCATGGTCGTGCGTCTGGGAAAATTCGTGCGTTGAACGCACGACAATGCGCAACGCTGCGTTCTACTGTAATACAGACTGTATCTCTTCCCCCTATGTGGTAACTGGCTATAATATGTACAGTACCGGTACACGAATCGTTACCGTATTTGAGATCTCCTACACCGACGGACAGAATGCAACTGCCACTTTCCCACTGGTACAAAAGCGGTCAGATGACCACAGCACTTTTTTTTACAGTAACGAATTACCAAGAGTTTTTGGCAAAGTTAGGGAGGCAGCTGTATTTAGCACTAAAAGTTGGTTTTGTACTTAGACTTAAAAAGTTTAGCGAAACTGTCCTGTACTTCTACCAATTTTCCTATAAATAAAATATCAAAATGATCAAATTAGATCAGTTCCATACAATTTATAAGTCAAAGCACTACCTTTAAACCGTGCGGTGTGCGCTGCACGAAGCCATGCCGATAGGCAAAACGTCGTAGCAACCTTTGTAGAGACTGATACGCAGTATATTCGCCCTTCTTGCCCTTCAAGAGCATGTCGTTTCTTCTTCATTGTATAATGCATCTGACGCTGTTTAGGCTCCGCGTATACCTCGTCAAGTAGGTCTGCAATCGCCACGATTTCTGGTGGTGACGGAGGCTCAGGTGGGGGCTCCGACCGGCGTTCGGACTCGAACTCCGAGGTGGTTTCAGCTACACGTACCGCCTCCATTTTACCAAGTGACTGGTGCAGAATAACCACTGCAGTTCAGCTGTACAATGTGGCGTTTTAGCTGTTTTGATTGGCTTATTTGGTAGATTTGCAAGTGGCAGCTATGACCTGCGCCCGTTTTACGTTGAATTTTAATGGCAGTTGCATTCTGTCCGTCGGTGTACTTCAGACCCAATATTTTTGAAGTTGTATTGTTGCAAAATACACAAGATCTGTACATGTACCGACGCATCTCTATCACGTATTATTTAAACAAAACAATTTAGTTATCAAGTTCTTCTTCGGGAACTACGAAGTTTTCTGTCGTGACGCGTATCCACAGCATGGCGCACTACGGGCACTTCTTCCAGCAACCGTCGTAGCAGCTCCCAATCAGGTTCCCTCCACAACCGAAAGCTTGTAGGCGTATGAAATGGCAACGCGCTTGAACTTCTTGGGAGGCTTGCCAGTGCCAGAAATACGGGTTCTCCCTTTCCGTTGGCCGAGCGTGAGGGGAGTGCGCGCCATTGCGAATTTCTGGGTGGATAGTTACAGTTTAGCACGTTTTTTGTACTCTGAATTAGGAGATCTAGACTTGTGCGCTGTTCCATTCTCGATATGTGATTGGTTGGAGGGTAGTCTGAATTAGGAGATCACTCTGAAGTAGGAGATCTCAAATACGGTACGCGACACCTGTACAGACATAGAAGTACTAGTAGTATCAAGGTCTTGTTCACTTGTGCCATTACTACATGTAGTAGTAGTAACTTATCAAGGTCTTGTTCACTTGTGCCATTCATTTTGCAATTTGCTTTCCCGGGCGGACTTACTTAGCTGACCCATGCGTCTTATAATCTTGCTGGTTGCTCTAATTATTTTGGCACTAGTCAACGATGTACATGTATCTGCCGATCAGAGTCCAAGTAGCACTTCCGAAAGGTTTCTTCGTGTTACGACCACTGCGGATGATGAAGCAAGGGGAGATTTTTCACAGATTAACTTAAATCTAATGAAGCTGAATAACCGATTCAAGAACAGCATGTTCAAGAAGTGGGACGCCTACACAGTCGGGCATATCAGGGAAGTCCTTGACGTTCACCCACACAACAAACGCTGGGCATCGCTGCTCTTCAGTTACTTAAACGACTACAAGAAGGCGGGAGGGGGAGCAGTCAAGCATGTCAACAACGGAAAAAGGGTGCGATTCTCAAACAAACTTAGAGCTCGCATCTACTTTGATTAGGCGGCGCATTACAAGTTGAGCTCATTGGGACTCCATTGGCTTTGGCGCTTTCAAAACATCATATTTGCTCCAAGCAAGCTTCGTATTCTGGCCGAACTCCAATACTTCAGTGAGCCATCATCATGATCATTAAAATCAAGCTGAGACCTGACAATTCCGACAAGTGCCTTCTTAACGATAAATGGATTGCGAAGAAGAAATAATACAAGCCATTCCACCAGCTCTCCAACCTGGTATAGAAAATCGAGATCTTCACACATGCTTAGCAAATAAATTTTCGTGCTCGTAGACGTAGGGCCGTGCACAGCTGTTCGCCACGCCTGAAGTCCCTACAGCGTCCACCGAAGCCGCACGTGTAGAGCTCGGAGTCGGAATCCAAAAAAAACCTAGGGTGCAGGCGGGACTGACCCGGTCTAAGAAAACTGCAAGCACATTGTCGAATAGCGTTCAGAGAGTGGGAAAACCAGTTCTTTTGGATTTAAGTAAGCAGTAACTCAAAAAATAACATTTCACATAGAAGCTGGAAGCACGAGGCTCTTCTACTATACTTGTAATGTGCTAAGTGCTTAGAATAATGTCGATCAATTGTTTCTATCAAGATATCACGCTATGTATTATTATTAGTAATACAATGCAGCTGTAAAAGCTATTATACCACACAAGCATATCAATAGCATCACTACGTCGAGTATGAATCAGATTTTGCTCCAAAATGCTCTTGTAGTACGCACCAGTAATATTTGAGTCACACATGTGAAGTGCACCCACACCCTCGTAGGTGATACATCCCCAAACCATCAAGGTCTCTCTCCCAGACTTAAACGTAGGTGCTAGACATTCGTTCTTGAACTCCTCCCCAGGCTTACGCCAAACAAAAACCCTCCCCCTGAGGGACTTGACGCCCCATAAGTTGCGATGCAAATATCGTCTCGTCAAAGTGAAAATAGCTTCTGATTCGTTACAGTCTGCGCTATTCGATGATATTTTGCATTGATTGGCTGGATCAATACACTACTCAAAAATTCAGGATTTGATCTCGCCAGCTGTTTGGACGTAGACTTTCTGTACCCACTGTACATATTTGATGTCATACAAAATATTAAATCCTGTGATCACTGATCGCTGATCAGTAATCAATTGTTGGATGGGAAATTCAATGTCGGCGACGTGATTCCAAGTTTGAATTTCCAACACATGGGAGGGACGAACCGAGCCGGAGCCCAGGCTCTCGATTTGCTAAGGAGCCGGCTTTCCTAAAAAAAAGCCAGGCTCTCGAAAATACCGGGCTCCTTAGTCGGTTAGAGTAGGAACCGGGACTGCATCTCTAATTAAGGATTTTAATCCTTGCTGGACTTAGTTTATACTTGTCACCTTGTTATCGACCTCCCCGACAGCTACTCTGTAGAAGACGATCTCTTGGTATAGCTGTCTCCACCCAAGATGAAAAGACTAGAAGGCATTCATTTGGATAAGGATATTTATCCTGGGAGGACAGCTAGAAGATACATTAATTCGCTCAAAAAAGGTAGCCTGTAGCACAATCAACTTTCAGATCACATCACGACACAAGTTATCTCGGTCCGGATATGCCGATAGACACTATGAATTAATGAGAATTGCCGGATTTGGACGGCATAAGTGATCTGTCCAAGCTTATTCAGCTCTTATCAATCATTAGGCGTAGTCTTACCACCGTAGGCGATCATAGCACCGCTTTAAGCTACTGTTTAGCGTTTATCTCCTCCTATACTGTAGGTAAATTCGACTGGAAATGACGTCCCACCCATTACGGTTCTAAGTCGGTCAGATATAGCTAAATCGGACCTTGTTGCCCTAAGTCCTGTCCATTGTATTTAAATCGGGCCAAATCGGGAGGCAGAATTGATGAATCACATTATTGTTTCAAATAATTTGTTTTGGATCACGTTATAATTGTAGATGGGAACGCTATCTTGACAGCTTTCGCGTTCAAGAACTGTAGCGCTCGGTCGACAGCCTGTTCACCGCTTTTTTGCGAAGTCTCACTGCTGCCTATGCAGCCTTCAAACGACGTGATGCACTGCAAGAGTTTGCCCTGGAGTCGTTCCACGTTCATAGCGTTTGAACAAAGAGAGGTCCCGGCCGTGCTCTTTTCTCGTTGACAAGCGACGTCGTGCAAGTGGACGAGTTGATGCTCCACAATGCTCAGACTCACTAGCTGCATTCGCTCAAACACAGGGAGGAAGAAGACACCGGTGAGCAACGAACGCCTGTGGTTTGTACGTGCCTTTCCTTCCGCCACAAGTCGCTGCAATTGCTCAATGCGAGAGCGGAATGACTTCAGTGATCGCTGACAGCACGCGATGATTTCCATCATACACGAAGCCACGCTGAGTCCGTCTTGATCGCCCAACGCCAGTAGATGCCGTTGAATAAATTTCTCCAACAGATTTAAAGAGCTAAAGTCGGATGTATCCGCGCTCTCTGCTTCCATTAGAGTCAAAAAGACGCTAGGTGGACGAGCCGTTGACTTTGAACAGTGATTCCGCTTGAAATCGCGGCGAATTCGAGCTGCAACGTCATTTAATTGACAATTGAGCTGTCCGATTAGCAGTGCAAAGGATTTCTTCTTCTTAAGAGCTGAATGGCAAGATAATGCTGCAACGAACTCCGTGATTCGACCAGCTTTCTCCACTAACGAGAATCTGCTTCCATCACTTGTTGGTATTTCATTGAAGACAACTCGAGTGAAGCTTGATAGCTTTTGTGCTGCTTCGTCCTTTGTGTGAACTTCTTCCAGATGATATGATGTCCAAAGTGACCGGAAAGCCGCGAACTCGGATGCCGCGCTGTGTGATGCACTTAGAGCCCGGTGCAAGCGGTAGAACGGGTGAAATGAACTGGTAGTGATGGCACTAAAGGACTGCAAAGTCTGACGGACAGGCGGAGTGAGCGTAGATTTGGTGTCCTCGCTCCCACCGGCATCTTGAGTTTCGCAGAGAAGAGCGAGAGCTTTAAAGAGCAGTCGAGTTGCCACAGAACTTCTTTTAGCTTTTGAAATGCACAGAAGACTCGACAAATTTGCTTCCCCGTGACAAAGTTTAGCACGAAGATTTGGTCCAGTGGGCATCATAAACAGATCCAGAAGCACTGTAAGCGAGGCAAACGGTAGCATTTCATACAGAGCGTTGGTCGCTGATTGTGCTTTATCCGTCTCGTCACCAGACTTTCCGTCACTTTTGTCAGCATCTCGAAGCACAGCTGGATGTAGCAATACTTGGTGCTTATCCTTCTGACCGAAGCCATCTAACGTGGAATAGTACGCGTCAATCTGCGCCAAGCCATAAGCACTCGACAGTCCAGCACGCTCTTGGTTTTTCCGAAGAAATTCGAGCCGCAGAGCATGCTCCAGCACAGGAAAGACTGCAAAAAGGAAGTAGAGCTCGTCTCCTCGTTCCACTAACATCTCTACACCTCGTCGTAGTAGATTCGACCTCCCAAGAGGAATAAATGGAGCACGGGACCATCTACTCACCACTTCTTCTCTCACAGCTGGAGTTTCCTCGCGAAGTATTGTGACAAGATCTTGCTGACACCCGCCGTCTTCTCCATTTATTACACTAAATCTATCGTCAAAAGCATCGATATGGAAGAGTGTGGTCTTGCTATCTCTCTCTCCACTTGACAACTGTATAAAATACCTCGGCAATGCCATAGTGAGCAGCAGTGTAAGGCACCCAAAGCACTTCGGGAACTCGCAAGGAGCAATAAATCCATGCCACACCAAGTTTCGCAGATTCAATCCTGACGGAAGGAACAAAATCTTCAGCAAACGTAACAAACCTGCCGGTAGTGTATCCGCCAACGTGTCGGAATGTAACAAGTCCCTCAGGATCATATTCTGCTTCCGAGACTTGACTACTCCACCACTCGACGTCAATCTGTCATCAAGTAAATCATACAACGCCTTCTCCAAGATTGTGACACCCACTTCAAAACCCACAAAATACTCCCCAACGTCGTCATCCAGCATCGTCGCCACCTTTTCCAGCGAATCCGAATGAGTCAAGCGTCGAGCAGCTGGCCACCTAACTTTCCGGCTGTCCCTGTGGGCCACAGTTTTGTTGAAAGTAAATTGTTCAGCTGCCATTGCCAAGGCCCACGTCGTCTCGATTTCGTTGGCAACACTATCGTTGGCCTCGACGCAGCTGAGCCACGAATCCCATTCCAGAGTCACAACTCCTTCGGCATCCATACCAAATCTCGGTCCAGTTGATTGAAGACATGACCGGGTGGAGCTCGGCAGTCTCCAGTAAGAGTTAAGCGCTTCGTGCACTGCAAAAGACAGCGACGGTCGGTACATGAATTGGGTTGCGATTGAGCCCGTGGCCACCATGATGGCGAGGTTGATAACTTAAAAGTAAAACCCAGAACCAAAAACAGACTACTTCATTTCGTTACTTTTTGGAAATGAAGTGAAGTACCGTAGATGACAATAACAGTGTCACTTTTTACGTGTGGAGACTTGAAAAATGTAATGAGATTTTCTTATTTATAAATATTAGAATAAAGGTGAAATGTCATGCCATCGTATTTTTTTTCTCAAATTAAAAGTTTTGCAGCGCTGCAGTGAGCCCGTGCGTTGCAGTGAGGCCGTAAATTACTGATCGGAGTCGCTTCGCTAGTGGCTAGCAAAATGTAAAACGGTGTGTATTTGAGAGTCGTTAGAGGCCTCGACACGTCGAGCAGTGTCGAGTCGACATTGCAGTTGATTCAAACGTCGTGACGTCGGGCCGTCACTGGACCGGGCCCGATCATTCCCCCCCTCGTTTTCGCTGCAGTGCGGCAGGTGCGAGAGCTTTCCACATCGCTTGAAGGGTCTTGTGCTTGGGGTGGGCCGCAACGTAGGAAGCTACTAGTTTTGGAATGTCTTCAATCATCACTCGAGCTGGCTCCCAAGAGGCTTCGAGAGGGTCTAGCCCGACCCACTGGACGTTGAGCTCGTAGTCCTCGGGGCCCTTGCGGCAGTCGAGCAAGCGCTCGACAATGTGACCACCAGCACCATGATGGATGTGAGCGAGGATGTCTTCTGTTACTTCGCGCTGGGAGTCCCGGTAAAGCTTGAGTCTTGACGCGTGGTGGACAGTGATGGTGTAGGGTGCGACAAGGTCCTGCACTTGAAATGTGTAGTCATTTTCGGCGGAGACGATCCGTTTGGGGCCTGTCCAGTAGAGAAAAAGCTTGTTTCGGCGTGGCAGCACGCTCGCCGCCAGCACAAAGTCGCCGATTTCATATTTAGGCATCACCACACCTTGGCGTTTGCTCCAGCGCTTCCGATGCTGTCGGCGTTTCTTGTCACTGATGGTAGCCGCCGCTTGATGCATTTTGGTGAGTGCGTCCTGCATAGTCTGGAGGTGTTTCTGCTGCGCAACCAGCTCGTCGGTGCTAAGTTTCACGACCTTGTCATTCGTGACGATGGCACGGAAATGTGACGAGCCAGCTAGACCTGTGAACGCCGTTAGCGGGGCAGGCATTCCAATGCGATCCGAGGGCATTGTGTTCAGACTGTACTAAACAGCGGGTAGGATATCGGGCCAGGATGCAATGGGGAGTTTAAGCTCGCTGAGTAAAGACTTCAATGCCTTCAGTATCAGCCGATTGACGACCTCCACAGTGCCGTTGCCCACGGGCAGTAGGCCGTGACGAAGTGGTGCTGCGCACCGAAGAGCTTCGCGAGTCGTGCAATTAGCTGGTTCTTAAAGTGGGTACCCTGATCGGACACCCACTGGCGCACAATGCCGAATCTCTTGCACCAGTCGATTAGCGCGATTGCTGCTTCGTCCGCGGTAGCAGCCGGACACGCCACCAGCTCCGTGTACCCCGACATCCCATCTTTCAGCACTAGCACATAGTGCATGCCGCTGCCGCTGGCTGGAAGGCTTAGGAAGTCAAAATGTAGAACCTCGTTGGGCTTGGTGGCTTGCAGTGTAAGTCCAAAGGGACGCGGCTCCCTCGAGCTACCCGTACGCATACAATGTATACATCCATGGACGAACGCGGCGACGTCTGCCACCAGTGTTCTCCAGCTAAATGTCTTCGTGATAACCGTTGATGTGGCTTTAATACCACGATGCCCACTTGCCCCAGCGTGCCCGATAACGCAAATCCGCTGCTGGATATCGGTCTCTGCGTCGGGTATCCAGACTTGACCGTCCTCTGTCAGATAGAGCTCACGTTCTGCATTTAGTGCGACGTTGCTGGAGCACGGGTGGGCGATGCAGTCATGGCGGTGCCTTGTATATTGCGGATCTCAGTTGTGGTTGGCCATTCGAAATCGGGCTGCTGTAGCGGGGCCACTTGGTCGGTGATGGCTAGCTGACGAAGCTGAAATGCCCGCGTAGGTTGCGCGTCTTGCTTTGCACCCCAGCGCGACAGCAAGTCTCCCCAGACATTTTCGTCTCCGCTCACATGCTCGATCTCGTAGTTGAAAGGCGACAGACCTAGCGCCCAGCGCTGGAGCTTGTCGGCCTGGTAGCGATGGATCCTCCATTGACTGCGTAGAAGTTGAAGATGAAGACCAGGTTTCGATGGTCGGTGAAGAGCTTGAAGCCCCCGGGGCGGAGTAGGATGTAGTCGAGGCGTTGACAGGCTTCGACTATGGCGAATGCCGCTTTCTCTATAGTTGCCCATCGGCTCGATGCTCCAGTAAACGTTCCACTCAAGAAAGCTAGCGGCTCATGGTGTTGCTCGCTCAGGGGGCTCTCCAGATCACCAGGAGGTAGCTGGGTCGCAACAGCGCCCCAGTGCTCCGAACTTGCATCTGTGTACAAACACACATCCCACTCAGCACGTGGGTGTGCGAGGGGGGTGATCTTGATCAGAGCGGCCTTCAAGTTTTCCAGACTGGTCTGTTGAGCAGGGCCCCACTCGCGTTCGCTCAGTGGTATTTTTTGCAGTTTGGCCTTCTTCCGGCTGCCCGCCGTCTTCATGGCGGACTCGAGTGAGCTGTACAACGGGCCCGTAATGTGCACGTACTGAGGGATGCTGGCGCGCATCCAGTTGGCTGCACAGAGCAGTTGTTGGTGCTCACCGGCCATAGTTGGTGATGGCATGTCCACGAGGCCCTGGATCCACTCTGGGCAGTGGGTGACGCCCTCCGCCGAAATGATGCGACCGCACCATTTGATACGGGTCGTGAAGAAGACACATTTTCCTGGGTGAAGCTTGAGCCCATACTTAGCGCACTTCTCCATCACTCGATCAAACAGGTCGCACAGCTCCTCTTCGGTCTTAGCGTACCCAATTAGGTCATCTAACCAGGCCAGCACCCCGTTGTTGATATCTTCGTGGAACATCTCTTCCACAGCTTGCTGGCAGAACGCAACTGAGTCACTGGATACCATCGGCACTCGCTGCGGTGTATACATCCCGCGGTGTGTCATGAAGGTGAAGTACTTCTGGGACTCTGGGTCGAGAAGGAGCTGCCAATATCCGTGGAGCCAGTCGCAGGAGAAAAAGACTGTAGAGCCCTCAACAGGGGTGATCACCACGCCAAGCTGTGGCATTGGGAAGGGCATCGACTCCGTACAGGCGTTGACAGCGCGGTCGTCAATAGTCATTCGCAGGTCGTTCACATCCTTCTTGGGCACGATTCGCGGCGGGGAACACCATCTTCTGCGACTGTTCTCATGGATCCGCATCGCGTCGAGAAGCTCTTTCACGTGGGCATCTAGGAAGATACGGTGCAACAGCGGGTAGCGCCGTGCCTTGCACTTGACGGGGGCTGCTCCAGGCTTAAGGCGGACCTTGAGCGGCGTGACCTTGACGGGAGGGTCCAGCCCGAACTGGACGCGATAGGTGTCGGCGTATTTCTCAAGCGAGGCCTTCATGCGCTTAAGGCCGCGTTCGCTCAAGCCCCGGGCGACTGCAGCTTTGAGGCCCCTGACAAAAAACTCTTGGACACGCGCGGCCGCCTCGTCGTGGGTCACGAACTTGGGGGTGAGAACGAAGTCTTCCAAAGGCTCCCTGTTGCTGACTGCCGGGTGGTCGTTGCAGGCCTTGTACTGCAGTCGCTGGATTCTGGACAGCGGGGACCTTTCTGCGCGCGATGCTGCAGAGCCCACCGCACTGCCGCCTCCATCATACTCGGGTTGCCGATTGAGTGCTGCAACAAGCAGCGAGTCGACGGAGCAGGCTCGGACAATACAATACGAAATTGTACTGCAAGACATCGAGTCCCATACTTAATAATAACGGAAATATGATGAAGTACAATAATAATAACGGGGCCAATATAAGTATATTGTGGCCTCTAACTACCAAGTCTTCCTACTCATTGGCGACGAGCGAAGTCGCGTTCCACATGTCGCGGTTCACGCGAAGAAATGCTAACATCTCAAAGTTTGCAGAAAGCATGCATGACCGCTGAGGCGTCAGAATGAGCTTGCACTGCGAAAACAGTCTTATAACTGTGTTCGAGGTGGGCGGCACCACCTTTGCCAGCTCATGAAAGCTCACACCCGCAGCACCAGCCGCTCGCATATGATTCCCCCCTCGTAGAATTGCGCTGGCGTAATCGCTCGTCGAGCGCTCCTTCCTCTTACCAGTTGCAGCATCTGGCTCCACCACCAATCGCTGGACTGCGCGCGACTCAGACGCAGTAAGCTTCGCATTGTTGCAAATCTTGACCAAAGCTGCCTCAAAGGCCGGCGCATGGACGATCTTCGCCGCCGGACGCAGATGGCTCGCCATAACTGGGTAGTCGTCAACAACCTGGTCAAACAAAACACGCACGTCCGCCATGCTGGTGTCCTCGCGCTGGAGTGTCTTGCAGACACTATCGAGTTTCTTGAGGTGCTCTAGCAGGTTTGCTGCTTGCGGTAAGAACCGCAAAGCTGA